AATTTTGCTTCGTTGGAGTCGTACTTTTTAAACTTCAACAATTCTTTTTTTTTGTGACTCCACAACCCTGTAGCAATAGTTCATTGTTAATCATGAGAGAAATCCTAAATGAAAAAAAGACAGAAAACTCTCATTTAAAATAAAAAAACAATTGTCTAATGAATGGAAATTGTTTATCAAAAAATGTGGTATATAAATGTGTTGATTCCTCTAAGAATGCACCTATTATAAGCAATATATTAGCTCAATATCACCTATATATTATCACCTATATATAAGCAATATATATTTTTTCCATTCACTCTCAACAGAGAGTGAATGGAAAAAATGTTTTGCAAATCGTAAGCAATCCATTAAAAATAAAAAGTATTCAAAAGACGCCATGCTGTCAAAATACATATGAAACTTAAACGATAAAAATATTGATGATTTTATACTAAATTGGTTCATCCTTAAACCAGCACCTGCATATATAAATATTTCCAAAATTAAGGTAATTTTGAAAATTTACTTACCAAGAACCTAAAGCTATTTTTCTGTGTAGCCTATTGAACTTTGTAGTCAAAAATAGTTGATCGAATCGTATACATAATTGATATCTCTATTTTTCAGAATCTTTGTATCAAGTTTTCAAATTTAAGTGTCAAAGAATCAAAAATTAATCAACAATAAAAGTCTATTATTTTCTGTATCTGACACTTAACCACAGGTATATATAATGAAAATCATAATAAAGCTATCTAAATAAAATAATTCATTATAAGTAAATAAGCATTTATAAGTGGGAACTGTTTATCAAAAAATGTGGTATAAATTGTGCTATGTAACATCAAAAGCATACAACCTCATATTAAAACTGTGTTTGGCAACAGTACATATATGTGTATTATAAAAAGGAACTTACACATATGTGTAATTACTTTTTTTCATACTTAACATATTGTTATAAGTAATACATTATAACAATATGTTAAGTATGCACATATCTTATATGTATCTTACATATTTTCTCTATTTATGGTGATTTTGGTTGTTGCTTCAACTTTTTTTCAATATAAAATATATTTCTGCTCTTACAACTATGCCCCAAATATTAATGTTTATTTTTTTTTAATTATATATTAAGATTATAAAAAGAAAAAAAAAAACACTCTCTTATATACGGATATAGTGATATATGACTTTTCCCCTGATGTAATTAAGTGTGCCTAATTCCTTCTTATGCATATGAGCAGAAGTATTTTTTTTTTTATAGAAAAAAAGTTGAAGCAACGACCAAAAAATCACCATATATAAAAGAAACATCGTTGTTAAATTTGGAAAAAAAAATTTAAAATCCTACGGTTAGAAGTTGAGTAAATTGATTTTGAAAAAATAAACAAATTACTGACTCATTTTAAAATAGCATTCAAGAAAGCTAAAGGTTTATAACGCCAAGATCATTTTCAGCTTGTTTAACCTTTTTAATTTTGAAACTAAGTTATCAATCTACTGATTTACTTTAATTATAAAATAAAAATAGAAAGTTTTTATTAACAAACCAACAACAAAAATATAAAATGTACGATGTACTCAAGGACCGCAGCCATTTTAAAAGTTCTGAACTTTTTAAAATTAATTGACGCATGCGTACCTAAACATACATTCCTAATATCAAAACGACCGTGATCTTTATAAAGGGCTGTAAGAACAAAAATTATATTGGGGAAGCAGTACTCTCCGAAATAGTGTTAAGGACCTTTTTTTTTTAAAGTCATTTTTTCAGTCAATTACTTTAAAATTATTTATTTGAATAATTATTGGGGGAGAGGGGGCATATGTACCTGCTGCCCACCCGGTTGCCTGTATTGATATATCTACTGCAAAACTGTTATAACAGACGCTTTGGTAGTTTATAATATTTTGCCATTAATTCTTTGTTTGCATAAATTAAATACCAATAAAAAAAAGGTTTTTCGGTTTGCCACTAACAACCAATCGGATTTGTTTAAGGGGGAAAACCTCACAGAAAAAATTTTTTTTTTCAATTTTTTTTTCCAGATATTTTTAAAGTAAATTTATTAAGAAATCAAACGGTAAAAACCTTATTTGAAAATCGCTATTTTTTATATCAATAAATGACACTTTTGTACAACTGCCTGAGTTTAAAATTACCTAGCAACGCCCCTAGTTACAGAAAAACTGTGAATAAAACACATATAGTGTGAATAAAACACATATATAGCTTTTTTTCCGGTTTTTTTTTGCAGTTTAGTTTGAAATGCTTCCCATTATCTCTAAAGCCATACTTTAAAACCACATATTTGATTGATAGTGCTAAGATTAGTCATCTTTTCAAGCTTCTACACAATCAACTCAAGCTTTCTGTATAATTTAAGAAAATGGAAAAGTCTAAAACAGAATATAAAAGTGATAGAGTAAAATTTTCTACTAAACGTCTTCGAAAACGTAAATGTACATTTTCTGGTTTAAGAAAGCAAGAAAAATGTGTAAATATTGGTGTAAATAATGTTAATAGTAATGATGAAAATATGGTAGACTCTGTAAATATTGAAAGTGAAAGTGTATTTAAAAGTGCATCAAAAAAAAAGTAAAGCAAGTAATGGTTCCAAGTGGAAACTCAAAATGTGTCAGTGGCTACAGGTTTATTGATTTAGAAATTCTTGCTTCCATTTTTGATAAACTTGGGTGTCCAGAATGTTTGCGACCATCACAGTTGTCGTTAAGCGAAAATAAAAAGTCTTGCAAAGGATATGCATCAAATTTATCATTAAATTATGTTTGTGGTTTCAAGTTAAACTTTGACATATCAAAAAATGTAGCAGGGTTTGATATTTACAAAAGATTAGTGTATGCCATGAGAACACTTGGTCAAGGCCAAGCTGGTCTACATCGGTTCGCCACTCTTATGAATATCCCAAAAGGATTATGCAATAAAAGCTATAATGTTATTGTTCAAAAATTGGCAACTGCAGCACAAATTGTTGCTGTTGAAACTATGAATGAAGCTGTAAAAGAACTCAGAGTAGGCAAATCTCTTAATGAGATCTTAGATATTGGAGTTTCTGTTGATGGAACATGGCAAAAAAGAGGATTTAATTCACACAATGGGGTGACGGCAGCATTATCAATTAAAAATGGGAAGGTTTTAGATGTTGAAGCATTCTAGAAAGTGTAAAATATGTGACAAAAATCAAGATGTTGGTAATTCAAAGCAGCAGCTAACAGCAAAAAAATCACATATTTGCAATAAAAGCTATGAAGGATCAGCCGGTGGAATGGAAACAGTTGGGGCAATAAAGATATTTAATCGCTCTTTGCAAAAATTTAATTTACGATATACAGAATACTTGGGTGATGATGATAGCAAAAGCTACACTTTTGTCAAAAACACATACAAGGGTATTGAAGTAATTAAACTAGATTGTAAATCGTTTGCTTCATGGAAGAACACAGAATCAAAATGAAAGTTTTAATGCAATGATATGGTCCAGAATACCTAAGTCAAAGTATGTTTCGCTTACGCAATTGAAATTTGGACTCTATGATGCTATTGGTGTCTTTAATATAGGATTAAAGTCTAGTATACTTATATTTGAAAGACTTAATATGATACCAGGGCAACATACCATTTCTGGATGCAATTACCTGAACCAGAAAAGAGTTATGATGTCAGAGTATAAAAATCAAGACACCATCAAAAAAAAAGGAAGATTTTAAGAAGCCGCAAGCTTAAAAAATTTGACAAAGTTGAACAGAAAGAAGGGAAATTGTATGGGGCTGGTGTTCATGATTAAAAAATACATTCAGTATGCTCTTTTTATATTATATTTTTTGTATCTTTGTTATTATATAATATTTTTCATCACAATTTCAACATTTGGCATTTTTCTCAGAACGCGTGTTTTTAATCTCCCGGCAGAAGTATCTTGAGAACCGCTTGACCGATTTTAATGAAACTTTCAGGGAGTATTCCTCATAAAGATGTATGCAATGAGCACACAACTTTTTAAAAATGTTTTTTAAACTAAAGAATTTAAAAAAAACATCTACCATTTTTGTGCTTAAAATTTTTGCCAAAATTAAACAGGCCTACTACCTGACAGAAAAGTTATTTTCAAAAACTGTCTGCTTATTGCATAGATCTATCTTTTAACTATAAGTTAGAAAAAAATAAGCTCAAATCATTCATTCTAATTGACTGCAATCTTTGCCAGGGTGAAGTGACTAATTTGACATTTTACCTTAGTAACCGCGTTGCCATGGCAACAGAGTGCCATTTTTTATGATAGATCTTCTTAACATTTAGTATACTTTTATTTGGAACATGTAATAACTTTATTAGGAGTCATTTTTTGTAAGAATCAGGCAGTCAATGGAAGTGACCTCCTCCAAATTGGTTGAATTTTTTATATATTGATCAGAATATAGAGAAAACCTGTTGGGGAAAAAAAAAAATTTCAAAAATGTTTCGTTCACTCGGAATCTGGGCTTAAATTTTTGAGATTTTTTTAAAAATTTTTAGAAATTTAGTTTTTGCCACCTTTGAATCCATTTTTTTGGCAAGGCAAAAAGTTGCACATAGCTTTTGTAGTTAATATCAGGCGTAACCCAAAAGCTCTCTCCAAAAATTATAAAAAAGTTGCGTGACACTGTGCGGTTGGCTAATTATCATAGTTCAAAAGTACAAAATCAATCAGTTTTGTCAATTTTTAATCGGAGTTAATGCTAGCGGCGAAGTGTTGCACACAATTTTTCTTTTAGGATTTGAAATTATCAAAGGTATTGAGTCTAAAAATGCAAAGAAAGTTATGTGATACCTAAGGCCTATTAATATATTAAGGCTTGAAATTGGAAAAAAATGTTATAGTATACTTACAAAATGAGCTATTACGGCAGAGGCGCTAAGTTTTGTAAAAATATAATCATGTTAAATGGTCAATATAGTTTAAAAAAAAACTCATGTGATCTTTAGATATTAAGTTAAAAATTAAGGTACAAATTGTTAAAAATGATTAAGTACGAAGAGATATTTTTTTGGACACACAGATGAGGTTTTCGCTCACAATAAAATTTCTATCATCCAAAATTAGCAATTAGCATTACACAAAACATTGCACGTAATGTTAAGAAAAAATTTAAGCGTTTCTGACTATGATATAGAAATCATAACAATTGAAATAAATAATAATAAAAAACAATACATGATCAGAAGTGAATTATTTAAATTTACGTCATAACCAAATAACTTGTGGTGATCGAATGGAAGAAAAATCGCTGATATCACGATTGTGGAGAAACAAGTTAGTGGGCAGTTGTTTACTTTACCATAAAAATGTCTTAACTTTATTTTAACGATCTTTAAAATTTGCATAAATAGAGTAGATATTTTATCATTGCTATTGAGAAATAGGTACTGCATAAATAGAACTTGTTTTTAGTTGAGTATGGAACAAAACAAATATTTTTATGAAAACTGTTGTTGCTTTTCAAAAGGAAATTGTGGATCATTCAAAAAACATAAAATTATAAACAAAATGTTCTACATTCATCAGCTGGGAGATGTTGATGTTAAGAAACACCTCATCAACTTAAAGGTAATTATGTATTTTAAATTTACGCAGACTGTAATATAATTTTTATAATTACATACTTTATAACTTCTCTGCAATAAGATTTTGAGACAAAGTTCTTTAAACAAAAAAAAAATAGCTCTTTTAATTAATTACTCACTCTTTTAATAAATAATCACTAAATTAATCACACTCTTGCGTTATTGTATTTTAATAATAACAACAATGTATTTCAAACTTGTAAACATTTTTCGTGAAGAGTCAGATTATAAACAATGCTTTAAATGACACACTTAATAATTGTTTAAAAAATTGTTTTTAGGTCAGGCGATTAAACGATAATAATATTTGGGAAGAAAATGGACTTATTGCAAATAGACTTAAAAGAAATCTTAAAAAGGATGAACAAATATGTGCTTTTCACCGGTACACGTTTGGTATTGCATGGAATCCTCCAAAAACATGCTTTCATCCTCACCATCTAAATATAAAAGGAAAAAAATCTCCCGCTTTAAGGGCGTCACCAATACATGTCGTCATATCAATGTCAAAGCGATACAATGAAGTATTTTCAGTTGGTGCAATGCTGTGTTTTACCCATTTAAAGCAAGAAACTGCTTTATCAAGAGTCAACGAAAACACCAATTTATATACAGAAACACAAACACAACAAGAACAAACATATATGACACCTGCTACTCCAGATGAAGAATTTGATCCCGGTGAAATTAATGTTTCACAGGAGATTTTGGACGAATCTCTAAGAAGCCGTGAGAGTGTAACTGAGGTTCTTAATGCAAGTCCAATAAAATTTAGATTAAAAAGGAAGTTCGAATATCTGGAAGATACTACTAAAGATAAGTTAAAACGCAAGTATGTTCGCCTAGAAAATTTATTAAAGAAAAAATTTGCGAAAGCTGTTGCTCCTGGACAAGAGGAAATACTTATAGATTTTCTTAACAGTAAAAATATTGATGGGCATACGTCCTTATGTATTTAAAAGAAAAACCATCAAGTGCAATTAGTGTTACCGAATTCTTAAACCGCAATTTAAAGCATAATTTGTAATTGTCATTGACATATAAGGATTCTGTCATTGACTCCGGAAGATTCTCTTGCATTGATGATCTCGACAGATTTGACCAAAAATGCTTACCAAAAGCTTAGAAATAATGCTAAAAAGCACAATGCTGTACTTTATTCAAGTTATCGCAAAGTACTTCAATCTTAACAACTATGCTATGCTGAAAATATAACGGTTACACAATCAAAATCCAAAGTACCTTTGCAAGATTTGTTGAATCATACAAGTAATTGATTACAGCAGTTTAATCAAGTACAATCTGAAATTAAAAACCTGAATGAACCTTTGGGCAAAACATTAGTCCTAAGCAAAAAATGGGGTTTCGACGGCGCATCTGGACAAACAGCAATATTATTAATAGCAGCTCAGATAAGCACATGTTTGCAACAACATTTATTCCACTTGTTTGTTCTTTTGAGAATGCATTGATGTCATCTGGCGAACCGTGTAGTTCAATTTGGAGAAATCAAAAACCTTCTTCTCAATTTTGTATGCCAATGAGATTACAGTTCAAAAAAGAAGACTTTAATTTGTTGCTAGAAGAAAAGGAGTATATACAGAATCAAATAGCATTGTTTAAGAACACAATAGTAAGCGTAAAAAATGAGCAAAACGAATTAATTCAACCAAAAGTAAACTATAATCTGGTGCTTACCATGATAGACGGCAAAGTTGCTAGTGATATATGTGGTCGAAAATCTTCAGCGTCATGCAATATTTTTGTGGCAACACCAAAACAAATGAACTCCGTACTTCGCGAAAAGGTTTGCCTGCCTGGATTCGTTTGTTTTAATGCATACTTTATTTTGCTTATCGACTTGATTTCAAGACTTGGTAAATCCGAAATCAAGATCATTAATAGTTGGCTTTGGATCAAAAGCATCGCATTCAAATTCCAAAACGTTTGGGTCTTCTTGATGACATTTCAAATTCGGTTTATAGAAATATAGAGATAAATATTCCAGAAAATGAGCCGAGTATTGGCAAACCGAGATATGCTTAATAAATTTTTGAAAACAAGTGATCTCATTATTTTAACAATAATAATTATTGTTATTAATTTATGTTAAAATATAGTTATTAATTTATGCCAAAAAGTCGGGTCTCAAAAACCATAGTGCAGCGAAACCATTTCGCTTGTAAAACTTGAGATTCTTTGCCATTGCTTTGTTACTACTTTAAATTATTGAAGTTAGTAACAAAGCAATGGCAAGAATATCAAATTTACAAGCGAAATGCTTTCACTGCGGCATAAACTAGCATTTCGCAAGTTGACATACGAAACAAAACTATTTTGCAACATACGAAAGTAGCGCTTTCGGAAGTCGCACTTGCGAAGCAAACATTTTCGCCAAACGACGTTTTGAAGTCTATAAAGAAAATTTGTTTGCCAGACTGATTTTAATTGTAAAAATTAACATCTTTATATCCCAAAATGTTTATAATGAATTTTTATTTTAGTATAATAACATATTAAATTTTAATGGTTTTATTTTTAGAAATATTGATAGAAAATAAAATTTCTTTCGAACGAAAGTATTTTGCATCACAACATACAAAAGAGTTCTTAACGGAAATAAACTTACAAAACGTGCCATAATAAATAACGATATAACGATGTTTTTTGAACTCATTACGTATAGTAAAAATAAGAATGATGGGTAGGAATATACATGTGTTTTTTTTTAAAGCATATGAAATTTTTGAAACAGGTTCGAATATGCTTAAGCAAATAGTAAAAAGAGGCTCAAAAATATGCTTAAGCTTAAGCATGTTTCTAATAAAATATACCTATTTCAATAATTTCTAAAAGTGTGCACGTTACTAAAGGTTAATGGGTATAAGAAAAATAAAAAGTTGACTTATGCTCTGTATTTTTGTTTTGGTTTTAATGTAGCTGAATTTATGTTGTTATAAACTTCGATTTTTGTTGGTTTAAATTTAGAAATATATATATTTAAAATTTTTAATTAAATAAAAATAAATTTTTTAAATGGTTTATGCTTATTTTTTTTCCAAATCTGAGCCTATAAGCGTTATGCTTATAAAAAAAAAACGAGTATATACAGTAGAATTCCGTTATCTCGGTCCCTGGATAAGTAGGACTTTGGGGCTATCCATAAAGGGGGTACTGAAAAGTTTGACAAGAATTGACAATGGGGAGGGAGTGTTGAGGTCAAAATGATGTCCATTTAAGAAAAAAAAATTTAAGTTCGAACAAATTTTAAAGGAATTTACATCTACAATGTGGTATAGAAATAGCATATTTGCTATGTTGGGAATTCGATGTAAGTTTCCTAGAGACATAATATAAATTAAAAATTTACCAACGTTTTACTATTGTATTACAATTTGACTGAAAATCTAACTGTTTACAAATATCAACAATTTGTATATAAATTTAACAATCATTATTCGATCCCAGCGGATTTTAAAATGTGCTTTAAAGCAAACACATAAAGTCATTTGTCATTATTATCGAAGAACACTTCAATTATAATTTGAATTTTGTAATTCTAATTGAATTGTTACACATATCTTATTGTAACTTGAAGGAGGAAAGGGGGGGGGGGGGGGAATAATCTGACATCATATATAAGAGGGGTTTTGCGAAAAGTTGACAGAGTTTGACAAAGAGGGGATGGAGTTTAAAAATTGGGAAAAATCACAGACATCAATTATGGACTGCCACTTTTACTAAGTTGGAAAGTTTTTCAATTTTCCTTGAACGTTCTATAAATACCAAGAGCTACGCTTAACTCGGACATTCTTTAAGTCCTACTATTTATCTGTCCAACTTAACGGGATTTTACTGTATATATATGTATGTATGTATGTATGTATATATATATATATATATATATATATATATATATATATATATATATATATATATATATATAATATATATATACACATATTATATATATATTTATAAACATAATATGTTTATATGTATATATGTATATATATGTATATATATATATATATATATATATATATATATTTATATATATATATATATATATATATATATATATATATATATATATATATATATATACATATATATATATATATATATATATATATATATATATATATATATATATATATATATATATATATATATATATATATATATATATATTAGGTATATTAGGTATATTTGTATAAACATTTGAAGAATCATTTAACAACACTTTTTTATAATTTTATTATTTATTATTTAAACTGTTAACAGTTAATATCTTAAACATATCGTAACATAAAATCTTTTGCGTCTTTTTCGAAACTGCACATTCCGGAATGCTCCTTCCGTAAGGAACTATTTCGTAAGTATTCTTACGAAATGATTTGTTTCGCAAGCTTTTTTTCGCAATGCTTTATTACGGAATTTTATTTATTTATATTTTCTTATAGTGCGTTGTTATGGAATGTGCATTTTCGCATGTGCAACTTCCGCAATAACAATTCTACTACGGTCGAAATTTAGGCAAGTTTTGTTTTTCGGCGAACAACCCGATTCGAAGGAATTTCAGTTTTTAAGCCGAAGTTTTAATACTGCGCACGCGTCAATAAGGCTTTAAAATGTAAACATTGCAAACATTGTGATTGTCACTATGATCAGTGATCATAATTGTGTAATTTCATAGTAATTTCTTTAATAACTACTCTTCTTTTACGTGTTATCTTAAAGTTTTATAGTTTTTTTATTATTACTGTAAAGAATTCGTGAAACCTACAAAACAACGAAATATTTACCGATTAAAACTATAATTTATAAATAAAATGAAGAAAATAGGTTATGTAGAACCTATATTATGTGCATACTTTTTTAACATCGGTATGGATATGTTCACAAGCAAACAGTTAATTTTTAAAAAAGTATGCTTAAAGCGTTTTAACAATACTTACTGCGATGTAATTTCGCAGTCTTCGAACAATAGTTTTAAACACGATATTAATTCTCTACACAATGAAACTGCTGAATGGGATTTATACTTAAACATTGCAAGAACATTACCTGCAGTTTTTGTAACAGTATTTTTAGGTACTTGGTCGGATAAAGTTGGTAGAAAAATGGTTATTATATTACCGGTTTTGGGAGATATGGCCGGATTTTTATTTTTTTTAATAAGTTCCATATACTTAGAGTTGTCTTTAAATTACCTCATTATTGCTTGTCTGATTTCTGGATTTTTTGGAAATTTTACTGCTATGTTGCAAGCAACGTGTGCTTATGTTGCAGATGTAAGTTTAGTTACAGAAAGAACAACTAGAATAGCTTTTCTAGAGTTTATGAATCATTTTGGAAGGATAATAAGTCCAGCAATAGCAGGTGTTTTGATACAAAAAAAAGGTTTTACAGCTGTTTACGCTACTTTAGTTTTAATCTCTTTGTTTCAACTTATTTATTGGTTTTTTTTGAAAGAATCTCGCCAATTTGATGTTTGTATTGTTGATAATAAATTCAAGGAGTTGGTTAAATTTCAAAGGATTAAAGATGCTTTAAATGTTTTTTTCAAAAAACGAGATAAAAGCCACAGAGTATTATTTTATTTGCTAGTTGGTGCTTTTATACTTGATTTGTTTGGTAATACTTTTTTTATTCTAATGTAAAAAATTAAATTAGTGGTACTTCTCTAAGTAATTTTTGCTTGTTTGATATTTTAGTATTGATGGGTATCTTATCTATACTAGTGTTATATTTTTTACATTATCCTCTCAATTTATCTTCCTCACAAATTGGATATTTTTTTATGGAAATGAATGCAGCTAGAGCTTTGGGAGTTCTTGTTATGAATACTATATTAATCAAGTATTTTCGATGGCGTGATTTCTCATTTATTATTCTTTGTGGAATTTCATATGTTGGATTTTCATTATTTATTGCATTATCATCAAAGATTTGGCATACTTTTGCTGGTAAGTTACAAATACATCTTAAATTTTATAAAAGCAGGTTATAGTAAGATTATAATTAGGGCTCATATCTAAATTAGATTAATTTCACAGTTAAAAAAAGATTGTTAGAAAATTATTTGTAAAGGCTGCTGAATAATAGTTTTTAGGATGAGTTCCATTAAATCCATGAAATTTTTAATCATTTTTCATAATAAATAGAAAAAAATAAGTTGTGTGAAGCAGTTTAAATGTCTCACACATACCTAAGTTTGTGAGGTCACATTTCCTTATTTTTACTAGTTGTTAATATATTTTTTCCAATTGTATATTATAGTTTATTTAATATCTAGTTATTAAAAAGTTAAGATAACATTTTAATTATTTTTTAAGTATTTGGGAATTAAATAACTTTTTAAGAACTACAAGTTATTTATTATGTTTAAAACTAATTATTCAGGATTTTTAGACGTCTGTTTATTATTGCTAGATACCATTGTAAAAAGGTTTTGTCCAATTGCCAAAGCCCGCTATTCTCAGGTCATAAAATCTTGTATTTCACCTTAAAAAGTTAGGCTCTTGTGACTTCTGAAGAATCTTTAACAGTATTAATAGTAGAGCAAATCTGTTATTTAACCTTTCTTGTATGATTCAGACTTTGTCACCTCACCTAAAGACAAGGCTGAATTGTTTGCAAAGAATTTTTCATCAATGTCATCTTATGATTCCACTAGTTGCGTTCTACCTGATATAGCAGTCAAACAGGTTGATCCATTGCTTGACATTTGTATCACTCCAGAATCTGTATCTTAAGTGATTTTCTGCTTAGACTCTTCTACAGCTTGTGGTCCCAACAACATACCTGTCAGGCTTTCACAGGAAGATGTGCGATTTCATGTCTTCATATGACCACGCAAAAAATAATGTTTTAACGATTCGACCACGGCATGTTTTTAAAATTTAAAAACGCGCTACAAAAACTCATCTAAACTTATCTGAAAAAAAAATTTAAAAAAATAATAAATATTAACGAAAGAGAAAATAAAAAAATACTTAGTTAAAGCAAAAACACAAAAAAATAAATATATATATATAACGCAACTAAGACAAAACTCATCAAACTAAAATGCTTAGTCTATTTAATTTACGCATTAAAAAACCTTTTCAATCTTTGTTTCAACATTTTTTTATATTTTTTATTTGTTTAATATTAGGGGGGGGGGGGGGGGTCCAAAATTCTATATTTCTTGTTTAACCAGTTATTCTTAATTTATTTTTTGAGAAAAGTTCAAAAAACAATTCAGTTTTTGCTAATTTTTTATGGTTGACCTTCTACTTCTATTTTAAAAATTTAAAGATATAAAAAATAAGTCTGCAAAATTTTCTTTGCGTATAAAGTTATGCAACTTTTCTTTCAAATTTAAAACGGTTTAAGTAATCAAAAAGATTACTTAATACAGATTGTTTCAAAATATCTTAATTTCCTTTTTTTTATTTATTTTTAGTCGTTATTCAAGCTATTAAGAAGACTATTCAAGATTTTTTTTTTTTTCACTTTTCTTTAATGAAGTCAAGAATAAATCTTCTTTTAAAGTTCCAGTCAGTAGAAGTTCAGTTATATTCTAAAGGTTTAACAACTCTAAAGATAAACAGGCTAAAGGAATACGGCTACCTAAAAGGCTTTATAAAAAACAAACTGGGTGATCAAATTTTGAAATTTTCTGCTTTACTCTAAAATGCAGTAAATAGCTAGTTAAAAAAAAAATCTAGAAGCAGTTAATAAGTATACCTCAAAGAGGTTGAATGATTGTATCGTTCTTGCTAGAGTATTTTAATTAAGTTGTTGCAGTTAAAAAGCTTCGGAAAAAACCCATTTAATTTCAACAGTAGATGTATACTTATTTAAACCATATAAAAAATGAAGGTTCACGTAGTTTAAAAATATTTTCGAAAATTATTGTCCAATTGTTTGTCCAAAAAGTTGAAACTATGGAATATAGTTGAAACTAGCTACAAAAACAAATGGATAACAATGGAAGAGCAGCAAACTTTACATCAGGTGTGCAAGATGAGTTCTATTTTAGTTTGATTAAAGTTACAAGGCAGCCCATTTAGCTGTGAACAAGACATTATTGAAGTAGATAAAAATATGTTAAAATGAAAAAGAAGTTTGAAAAATGAGGTTCTTTATTTTAGAGATACAATGTAGGTCATTGTCGCGGAGATCTATTCTGATTAAATACATGATTGTTGATATAAAAATACAAACCTTCATCTTATGTCTATTAAAGAAAACGCTCATAACCTAGATGTTCAACATGGAAAGTTCCCACAGCAATCTCTATCGCTTATGATGACTTTTATAGTTATTTTCCATTTTCAATAGTAAATAACAAACTGTATGAATTATTTACATATATAATGCTTAATTTGTTTTTGTTAGTTATAAATCAGAAGGTATGCTATTGATAAATTAAACAGAAAAAGATTTCTGCTTTTCTACTTTTCTTATATTTAATGATAATAATAATTTCATCTATTTTTAACAATGCCTTTGTTTGTCAGTATATTCATTTTTATTAAAATCGAAGTAGAAGGCTAAATAATTAAAATGAAAAAAAACGATTATGATTTTCAAAATCAGCATGAAAAACTAATTAAGAAAAATTGGTTAAACTATAAAAAATCTAAAAAAAGTTGATTATGGACCCCCCTATTAATATGTTCAAAAGTTAAATATTTTTCATAAAAAATATATAGTTGTATAAATAAAATATAAAAACATTTTATAAATACTTTTTTTTAAATTAATTAGAAGTGTTTTTTTTTTACTTTATTAGAAGCGTTTCGTTAATATATAATATAATAATATAAAAGCATTTAAGATCAAACTTATTAAATTGTAACGGTTTTCTAAAACTTTTTTTTTTTAACGAAATTTTGTTTATCTTTTTAAATGCATTAACTTTAATCATTCTTATATTTAAATTCGTTAAAGAGACTTTTGTAGTCGTAGAATGTCAGCGTTTATAAAAACAAAACAATTTTTTATTTTTTAATAAGATTTATTTTAGAAATGAACACTTAAACAATTTATATGTTTTAATTTAAAAAAGTATATACAACTGTCAATTGTATTTAAAAAACAAAACTTTTTCAGTAAATTGTTGCTTTATTTAAAATTGTTTCGCTAATATAAAAACATTTGTTAAGAAGTTTTGATGTAATTAATTTCACTTTTTTAGAATATTTTTTATTTAGCGCGTTTCTAAAATGTTTTTTGAATTAGCCGCAGTCAAACCGTCATAGCAAAATGTAACTTGAGTGGTCATATAAAGACGTGAAATCACATGTCTTCCTGTAAAAGCCTGCCTGTTATAGTCTTGCAGAAGTGTTCTCTGGAGCTGTTGTCTATACTTTCAAAACTATTCAACAAGTACTTATTAGAGTCTCATTTTCCAGCCTGCTGAAAAGCCGAATCTGTTATCCTTACTTTCAAAAACTCTGGAGAGCGATCCGATTTGTCTAACTACTGTTCCATTAGTCTTCTTCCTATCATAAGCAAGGTTTTTGAATCTTCAATTAAAAAACACCTAATTTCTTATCTTGAATCTATTAACTTACTTTCTGATCATTAATATGGATTTCAACCTTTTTGATTTGGTAATGGTAATAACCGACAGGTTTTATCGTGTATTAGATAGATGTGGAGTGGTTAAAGCTATCGCTCCTGAAATTTGTAAAGATAAGGTTTGGCATGCTGGTCTTCTCTATAAGCTCTGGTCTGGTCTTGGTATTGATCTGGTCTGGTCTTCTTACGGTGTATCAGGTAAGATCTTTAAGATTATTAAATCCTTCCTTACCAATTGTTGTGTAAAAGTTGTTCTCAATAGGCAGCACTCGTCTTCATATCCTGTAACATCAGGAGTTCATATCCTGTAACTTCAGGGGTTCTTCAAGTTCTATTTTTGGCCCTATATTCTTTTTAATTTACATTAATGATCTTCCTAATACTCTCACATCTAAGGTGGGATTGTTTGCTGATGATACTACCATTTATTTTTCTTTTGATTAGAAGCCAACACTCTCTAATTGTTTGGAGATGGCATTTGAGCTTGAAAAGGATCTCACTTTTGCTCTTGCAGTGGCTGTTGAACTTTAATTGAGATAAAACTTAATTTTTTTCACCTAATTGTTATCACAACAATCTAGATATTCCTATATTTATGCATGGTAATGTACTCAATTAGTCATCTACTCTTCATCTTCTAGGGTTAACTCTTACTTCTGACCTTTCTTGGAAACCATATATCAAATTGATTGCAAAATTAGCATCTGCTAAGTTTGCATCTTTTTGTTGTGCTTGCTACCTTCTCACTCCAAATTCTATTCTTTATCTCTATAAATCTCAAATCCATCTTTGTATGGAATACTGTTGCTATATTTGGGGCAAATATTCCAATGATGCCCTTTCTCTTTTAGACAAGGTGCAAAAATGCATTGTAAACATAATTAGAACTGCTCTTGCAGCCAACCTCCAATCATTATCAATCTTAATTGTTAATTGTTATCTTGCCCTATAAACGTCATCTTTTCTCTTTCAGTAACTTCCAACTCTAATAGTGGTTGTTTGTTGAAAAAAAAATTGTATTATTAAAAAATCCCCTCATCTTGTTCTTTAGAGTAGTTGCCTCTATTGTCCTTGAATTTGTCCAGATGAGCTAGCATGTGAGGTTTAAAAGATATCCTGCTTCACATAGCATCTTAAACCTTTATTAAATTATTTACAAGTTTTCTGTAATTTTTAGCTCTGCAGTAGCCAGAAAAGCAATATTCTGAAACAGTTCAATGCTTTACTTTCAGTAATACTGAGCTTGTTAAAGAAATCTCTTGGTTTGAGCACTTGCTTTTTCTTTTCCAAAGATGCAGCAAAATTTCCACTTTATTTTGGCCTCAGATAACTTTTTGAAATATTCTTAAAGTTACTTAAAAGCAAGTGATTCCTTATTGAGAGCCTCACAAGC